ATATGAGGGGGCTGATTTGGTTAGTTAAGCAAAGTGAAGTCTGTCCTCAAGGGAAATAAACACCAAGGAGGAAGTACAGCTTCAGCTAGAGCTGCGCTTGCACAGGCACAAGAGAATATAAACTAGCTGTGAATCCATTTAAGCTGGAAAGTGGGGACAATAAAATTAGCCAGTTTGGGGTTGGCACTTGAGAAGCTTTTTCTAGGGATCATGAGACCGTACTGGTAAGGCATCACACTCGGTCACCAGGGGCATGCTTTTGCTCCCACCAAACAGATCATTTTCCGGCATCCCAAAACCAGTGCTAAACACTTCAGAGGCAGATGTAGGGAAACGCGCAGGAGACAAGGCAAAGCTTTCCCAGAAACATTTTCTCCTGATCTGAAGGGGCCAGGGCTTCACTTGTGCCTCAGAGCAGGAGGGTGCAGAGTTGCTTTTAACACATGCACAAGTGCCACAGGAATTCTGAACGCTCTTGTTACTGTATAAAGGTCATGGCTCTCTAATCCAACTGACATTTTGCTGTCATCTGCTGAATTCATCGCAACATGAATATAATTGCACAAAGAATTTTTGCAAATGAGCTCCTTTCCTCGGCAGTGGCAAAGCCTGCCACCAGCAGAGAAGGCAGACAAAAGTCCAGCCTCATTTCACACTGCACCAGCAGGGATGCTCCTGGAAAACTGCAGCAGCTGAAAGAGAAACACCCAAAAGGTGGGTGCCTGAAGAGCCAGTAGAGAAAGCAGGTGGGTTTTTGTATTTCAGCTAAGTAGTGACTAGTAATAGGAAAAGGGATGAGGAAAGAAGAACCCTGCTGGTGGAAACACAGACAGACACCCATGGTGAGGATGGCAAAAAGGGAAAGGGGTCACAGAAGGAAAGTGAGTAGCTATTCCAGGGCATAAAAAGGAGATGAGAAGGATGTCAGAGATCTGAGAGATGCATTTGCAGCAGCTGACATGGACTGTGAGATTTTCCTGACTACTCTACCTTGCTCTTTGTCAGAGTCCTGCATAGCCAGGGCCTCATCTCAGGAAGGATGGTCCAGCCGTGGCAAGCAGCAGGCACAGCCCTCGGTGGCTGCTGTTGTCAGAGAGCCTTTGTGCAAAGGTACAGACCTGCGGGAAGCAGACCAGGACACTCATCCATCTCTGTCAGTTCATCCAACAGACCAGACAGCCAGGCACCCAAAAAAGCCTTCACAGAAGCAGTGAGCCAATGCCTTGTTGGAGCAGAGGCAAGGCATCCCTGCAGGAAGCTCCAGGGGACCATGCTGCTGCATGATCACCCTGCAGACTGGTGAATGCAGGCTGGCTGGCATCACCATGACCACTGGGATGCCGCAGCACCATGCCCCAGCTGGCACTGGGAGCTCACAGGAGGATGGAGGCAGCAGGCACGTACCCTGCTGCCGGGCAGAGGCAGGGCTGCCATCCTCCCTGGTCACCCCAGCCAGTGTCGCCTGGCACAAAGGAGACTTAGTAGGGTATGACAGATATTACAATGCACACCAGCCCATCCATTCATCCCAAACCAAACCATCCTGCCACAGGTGCCATTTGGAGAACAGAGACAAGGGTGGCCTCAGCAACCCCAGTAAACAAAATGTTGTCCCCCTTTGAGCCGAGGGCCGTTAAGCACAAAGACCATCTCTACCTCTGAACGTACCTCAGCATAGAGCAGTGGAGGTTGGGGAGAACCTCAAACAAGTCCTGCAGGGTGCTTGCCCTGCTATCAGGCTTCTCCCCTCTCACCAGGTACAGACAGGCACTGCAGCAGACACCAAGCTGCCGGCAGCACAGTGCCTGACACCTCCATCACCTTCGAGCTCCCCAGAGGAAACTGTGCCCCCGGAATGTAACAAGAATTGCCATCACTAGCCTCAATTCTTAATAAGAATACATGGTTACCTCTTGGCACAGAGCAGCTGGAGGTAGCTGGCAAAAGTCAGACATCAGTGACAGAGTCATTCAGATCCTGTCCTAACTCCTTCCTTTTCTGAACCCAGATGTGCAAGCCCCATGTATGATACCTGAAGGGGGTTGCAATGAACCACTGCACAAGAGTTGTTACACCTTCTGTATTAGGGCTGGCAGTTGTCCTGTCCTCATGCTGGGATGGACATTTCTCCATACCCTCTTTTCTACAATCCCCTAAACCTCATTTCTTTGCAGGGCTTAGGGTGTCATGTATCCAGGTATTTCTGGTTTACTCTACTCAGAGTCTGTTTTCTCAGTCTTTTCTTTGTGAAAAAAAAAGGGTTGAAACACAAAGGCATTTAAAAATTAAAATTTACAATAATGCTCAGTACTTACCTCACTCTTGCCATCTTCAAAATGTTTTTATAGATGTTAACTAATTAATTAATCTTCACATCTTCTCTGACTGAAATTTGGAGTCACGGCTGAAGTGAGTAGGAAAATAAAAAGTGTGGTTTTCAGGGGAAGGGCAAAGGCAAACCTATGCTCTTACCCTCTTGTTTGCTATCCAGCAAGGCAATTTGCAGCAATACTTTCATTCTGCACTGCAACCCTCTCATTTATTTTTCAGTCCTACCAAGGGTCTGAAGTAATTTTATGTGCTACCTTCAGCTTCCCTTTTCTTAATGGAGGTCTTAAAAGGTGCTGCCTTTGAAAAGTAAACAAAATGGAAGACTCTGAGAGCTCTGCAGATGCTCCTTGATTAGATGCATTTATTCTCAAACTCTCTTCAAATCCATAACACAACCAGTCTCAAGAGGGACAGATAGGAAGGGGAGGAGGCCTGTGGCTGTGCTTGGCAAATGCTGCTACCAGAGTTGAGCTGACCCTTGGAGATGGGGGCAAACCAAATGCCAAGTTATGGCAGAAGGACACAGGCAGACTCGCGCTGACAGGGATTGAGCAGTGAGGATCTGAGTCTGGGGCTTCAGCACGGCCTGGGGCTTGTGTGGTGAGCCCCCCCAGGATCCCACGCTGGTCCACACTCTGGCTGCTGTCACCTATATGCGGGGGTTTTGTGCTCACCAGCCCGATGCCAATGTGTGTACAGAGCTCAGGGGCTGCTCTGCCTGGCCTTGTGCTGCGCATGCCACTCACACAGGCATTATCACATGCAACCCATGTGGAACTCTCAGTGCTGGCTTCCAACTCCACTCCCGGGATCTGTGGCCTGGATTTAAACTGTGGATTCAGGGCATTTGAACAGATCCTTTGTGCCCAATAGCTACAGTGCGTTTAAAGAGAGCAAAGCCCAACAGATCAGAGAAGAGCTGAAACACTCGGGACAAAGAGCTGTTACAGCTGCTCTTCCTAAACAGCAGCAGAATTCTTGTGGGACACAAATATCCTGCTCCGTTATTGGTAACTTCAGCTCTGCCTGGAGGTGACACTGCTCCAGCCCAGCTCCTGCTGGACCTCAGCCAGTGGCTGTTAGGACACATGCTTTGTCTCGCTGCTCAGCTCCCTCCTGAGCCAGTTCTCCTCCCTCTTTCACATCACACCCCAACGGCTTTGCAAGCAGCAAATCTTTCAAAGGGCGTGAGGTGCCAGACATTTGGCATGTGCTTGACAGGTATCACCTGTTGGCACCTCGGTCCCAGACTAGCCCTTCCCAGGAGGCAGGAAAATCCAGCACGAACAGACTGTTACTGCTTCTTGCAGACATTTGCAAACCCAGCAAGCACAGTGCCTTTCCTCAGTGAGACAGATGAAGGTGATGTGACACAGAGGGAGGAAGGCTCAAGGTGATTTAAACAAAAGCTGGAAGCATCACAATCTCTCTCTACAACTTATGGAAAACAGGATTTGTCAGGTGGACTCCCTATTGCTGCAAATTCGTCAGATCTCTCTAGGTGGGTTGAGACAACCCTGGCCCAGCTATACCCTCACATGCTCCTGCAACCAGATTTGCCTCCCATCTGGACAACTTCACACCAAACCTCTCCTATCTGGCACTTCTATGCCAGGCAACTACAGCAACAGGGCTCGACACCTTGGGCCACAGAATGGGGTAAAGGTGTGGGGCTGCCCAAGGCCTTGGGAGACCTCAGCCAGTGACAGCAATCACCCTGAACAGCCTGGCATATCCCTGTCCTGGGCACAGCCGGCTGGTATGCCCAGCCCTGTGATCATGCACAGAGGGACAAACCTTCTTGGAAGTTCTAGGAGTTCACAGGTTCGGGTGACGGGGCTTTCCCACTGACAGGCAGTGTATTACAGCAGTCTGGAATTAGCAAAGCAGCAATATTGCACAAACCAGTGTTTTGTGGTGTTGGAGGACTGAGATGGCACCTTGCTACCACCAAAACAGGCATGGCCTCACTCCCCTTCCCACCCCCTTAACATGACCTGCTCACACCCACACTGCCTCGGCTCCAACTCCCACATATCTGCACAGGGAGTCGACCCAGGATAAAACCCGCCTCAAGACCAGTGAACCAAAAAAGTCCCCATACAGACAAAGTTCATGGTTTTCCCTCACTGGATTATTTTTGTTCCCATGGTTTGCTCACACACAGAAACCCAGGTTCAGGGAATCAAATTTTAGCCTTGGCACAAGATGCAGAACCAAGTGGGGGTGGGAGTCATGGTGTCAATTTACATTTCCATCAGTCTACACGTAGTCCTGGAGCAGCAGTGCAACACTGACATCCGTCTGACTCGGCTCCAAGCCAGCCTCAAGGAGGCATCCTTTGGAGAACCTGATTTTTTTTTTCCTGGGCATCTCACAGGAGTCAATTTCGCTAATTTGGGTTTTTTCAACCAGACTCTAACAAGAATCAAGAATGGCTTGTGCAGCATCTATACTATGAGAACTCACACATATGGGCATTGACTCCATTACCTTTACCTGTCAGACAAGTCCCCACATTACTTTCTGTTCCATCCAGGACCAGGGGGCACATAGTACTGACACAAATATGAATTCACTTTTTCCTCAGTTTCTGCATCTTCCTCTGAGACTACCTGAAAATCACCTCTTTTGAACAGTACAGATGCAAATCAACCACACAGGAAACTCTGTAAATAAGATTTATGATTAGTTCCTGCTTTATGGACTCTCATCCCAATAGAGCTACTATGGCACTACGCTTTGGAAAGGGAAGTGAGTATTTTGAGGATATTCTACCGCAAAATGGGACAGAGGCTCTCAATATCATGCCTTATTTTGGAACCTCCAGAATCAGTATATGAGGCCAAGAGATGCCACCACAGGAGCACAAGTTTGTATAGATATGTCCATAGAACTATTATTTTATTGTTTTATATATATTTATAATATATTTATATTTTTTTAAAAGAATCCCTTCAAAAACTACCCTCCCACCTAGCAAAACAAAGATTAAACAATCAAAGATGGCAGCTGCGTCCTGGAGCAAATTATCCCAGGGGTCTCATAGAGCCAAGATGGTTGCTGAGCACCAGCACCCTCTTTCCAAGCTTCTGTGATGCCCTCTGGGTGCCAAGGTGACTGACACACCCTTATAGCTCTTGAAATTGACCTGTCAAAAGACAGGGAGAGAGAAAGAGAGAAACACATGGCCCTGGCAATGGGGGCTTGAGCAGTTGGGGAAACAGCAATGCGTAAACTGGAAGCTGAGAGTGTGAAATGCTGTGATGAAAAGGAGGGAGATACTGCCTGGAAAGTGGGTAAAGAAGACAGGAAAGAGAACAAACATGCAGGAGAGTTAGCTGGCAAGACGGATCTCAGAGAAGAGCTCAGAAGCATCACACTTGGGACCCTTGCTACCCCTCCATCCCCCAAATCTCTTCCTCTCACCCTCCCAGCTGTGAAGGGAGATCCAACTAGTTTGATTTAGACCAAATCTTCGCACTGCCCCGGAGCCTGAGGAAATGGGAGAAATAAAAAGAACATAAATCAGAGTGGACACTCAGGCTTATATCTCACTTCCTTTCTAAGTGCACATAGAGAAGCACAGCTGATGTTCACACACACACACACACATTCTGTCTGTTTGCCTGCACTCCTCACCCTTTGGCTTTGGAAGTTTTCTTGCTCGCCTGGCGCTGGTTGGTGCCAGGGGCTGGCTCCCTGAGCTCCGTTAGGTGCTGTTCTGGGTCTTGGGATGTGGCTGCTGCAGCAGCTGCTGTTGTCACTTTAATAGTCTTCTTCAGGTTTGCCACCTGCAATAGCAGCAAAGCAAGAAACAAGGGATTTCATAAGATTTTTAGTTTGTTTTGGCTATTTTTTATTAATTTTTTTTAGTTTTATTTTGGGGTTTTTTTGTTTGTTTTCAAAGGAAGCCCTGGAGCTGAGCTGCAAGCTCATGTCAACTAAAAGAGCCAACAGCTGTCCAGGCCCCTGCACTGCAGATGAGCGTTAAGCTGATTTAGGGCTCTTCTTCAGGCACAAGCCCCTGGGAGGTCCAGCCTAGGGAAAAGGCAATGCCTCACTTCAGCAAGGACTGTAACAACCACAGGGTACTGGTTCTAGTCATTTTAAAACAAGGGGCACTAACTGCTCCCTCCTGTGCCCCACTCACCTCACTCTCTATCTGCTGCTTCAGGGCCAGCTGCTGCTCTTTGTGCTGGTTGGCTCGGCTGACCTGTTCTTCGATGCCCGACAGGACAACCTCGCAGCCCTGGCACCTGGAGAAGATACCCAGAACTGAACAGGCCAGGGAATTGGCACAGCATAGAAAGAAATGTGAAAGACAGCAGATTTCAACTCCAGAGGCCAAAAACACTGGAAGGCGGCAGCTACACCAGGCAGGGAAGACAAAGGATCAGAAGTCTGATGTAATAACACAGAGAATTATGTTATTACCCGGGAGTGGGACAGATAACAAAGCCATGCTGGGTTAGGAACTAACTACAGATAAACACTCAGGAAGCCTCCTGCCAGCAGCCAGGACTGTGCAAAGGCTGATGCGGCTTCATCACCCCTCCAGCCAGCCACAAACAGGGGAATTTGGAAAATTATTTTTGGAAATTACTTTCTACTGGAGTATGGGAAAGGGGATCAAGTAGGCCACCTCCCAACACCACCCACCCCCATTGACACACAACAGGATCCAGGGAAGCCACTGGCCAATTCTGCAACCTTTTTCGGGTGTTAGCAATGGGGGCTTCCTTCTCACCACTCCTGCAACGTGCGGGTGATGGTGCTTAGCTCCTCCCTCCGGATGTCCCTCCCAATGCTGTAATCCACCTCCAGGCGCTGGTTCCGCTGATCCAAGCTCCCTCGCAGCACATCTGCATAAACTGCCTCAATCACCAGGTCCTCCAGCTGCCGGACGTTCTTCAGCTGTAATTGCTCCAGCAGCACTGAGTAGGGGATGCACTGTGGAAACATGATGGTAACTAGCATGAGGTAATCCCAGTGCAGGGAGAATTCGGGGAAAAACAGGGCCACTACCTTGATCTTGGCAGCCAGAGTGACAACTGACAGGTGCCTCAGTTTGTTCTTCTGAGCTTCTGTCAAGGGAGGGAGGTTTGCTGCTTCAGCTGTTGTCAGGGAAAAGAACAGGGTATTAAAATTTATGTCTCATTTTCCATTTCCCAGCTCCGCACAGAAGCATCTGCACCACACCCATCTCTTACAATGCCTGCACACCAATCCTCCAAGCGATGCTTTGTCTTGCCAAGCCATCCCCATCAATCCTCAGCTCAAAATACCTTTTCTGAGCAGCCTTTTCCCCCATAATCACCTTCAAGTCATTCTCTCTAGCTGTCCCATGCCTTATTTATGGAGGTCTGCACATCCCAACGGATACCTAAGTCTTTCCCCTCGTCCCTCAAAAACGTCACTGTCAAGATGCTCTTCGGCAGATGGCAAATGGCAGTGTTAATTACTGTCAGATACCTGGAGGGTCTGGGAGCCCAAACCACAACCAGGCGTGTCTCGGGTCAGTGGCACGGCCCTGGGGGGCTGTTTGGGTAAGGGAGGGCCCTGGTAGTGGGGAGCAGCCTTTCCCACCCTGCGGGATCCCCATCACTGGTCCGGGGGTTCCTGGCCCCCGCCCCACGCTGTGCCCCGGGCCCGGCCTCACCCAGGTAGTCCGCGTAGGTGCCGTAGGCGAAGATGGTGAGCAGGCGGAACACGGGGGAGAACTCGCTGTCAGCCAGCTGCGGGGACACAGGGTCAGGCGGTCCCGCCGGGCCGCGGGCCGGGCCCGGCAGGGCCGCGGGGCCGAGCGGGTCTCACCTCGCGGACGGCGGGCATGTCCAGCAGTTCCCCGAACACGTAGATGCCTGGGGCCTCCAGCACCTGGTGGATCAGGCTGGCGAGCGCGGCGCCGCGGGCCGCCTTGGCCAGCAGGAGGAACTGCTCCTGGCTCTGCCCCGTCACCTTGCCCTCGGCCGCCATGGCGGGGCCCGGCCCGGCGCGGCCGCGCTCGCTCCCCCGCAGGCTCAGCCCCGGCCCCGGCGCGGCCCGGGTGCTCCCGGCCGGCCCCGCGCCCCGCCCGTCGCACCACGACCGCTTCCGCGTCTGACGCGCACCCGCCGCCCATTGGCGAAACCACCGGCTCGTCCCGCCCTCGCAGCTTCCCCATTGGCGGGGCCGGGCGCGGCGCGGCGGCTCGCGCCCGCCGCCATAGCGCCTCCTGCCGGCCGGGGTGCGCACTGCCGGCGGCGGCTCGGAGCCTGTGGCGGCCTTTTCCGGCCATCCCCGGCATCCACCGGACACCCCCGGACACCCTGGCACGGCAGGGATCGTATCCCCGGGCCACCCAGGCTTCCGTCTGCCTGCGGCGCAGCCTCATCCCAGTGGCCACCGGCTCGTCCCCAGCCCTCGCCGCGACAGCCCGAATCACCATTCAGCACTTTTCTCATGCACTACCCTGCTCGCTGCCAGCGCCTTCCCGATGTTTTCCTGTTTTTTTCACGACCCATCCTCTGTCAAAACTCCCCCAATCCGCCCAGCCGTACTGAGATGTGTCCCATCAAGCTGGTCACGGATGCTTCGTGAATATCCACGTATTTATGGGTCTTTCCTGTCTGGTGAATATCTACTTTTCATCCGTACACCTGGAAGTGTTCAAGGCCGGGTTGGATGGGGCTCTGAGCAGCCTGGTCCAGTGGAAGGTGACCCTGCCCACGGCAGGGGGGTTGGAACGAGATGGTCTTTAAAGTCCCTTCCAAACCAAACAGCTCTCTGGTTCTATGATTTATGTTGAAATAACTGATGAGAAAACAGATGCACTACTATATGGAGTGATGTGTTTCACATCTCAATGATATATTCTATAAGTACAACAGCAGAATTAAAAAAGGTGCATGAAATAAATACCTTGTGTGTGCCCACACATCGCTCCAATTTTTGCTTTCACACCATTAAGGTTTCACTATTTTGGGTAGTGTTTTGGGGATATGTAAATGTAAAATATCTTATGTTGCAAAGCATGGTACTTATGTATTTAAGCTGTGCATTTCTTATATCCCTGCATGCCTCCTCTCCTCTACTGCATTAATTTTTACAAAAAATGGCTTTACTATCTGCTGAATCATTAACCATCGCACTTGTCAAGAAATGCATCCCTGATGCAGGCAAGGTATGACCATAAAAAGATAGTTTAAGCGCTCCACAAGGATAGAAATGTTTATGGTGCACCTTCAGTATCTCTTTGTGGGCGTGTGAGTTAGAGCAATGCGGTCAGGAGGCAATGCTGAGGGCACGTTTCCCCGTGCCAGGTGAGAGAGAATACAGAGTGGAGGTCATTTTAGAGAAAAAAAAAACAAACCTTCATAGCTCTTCTCATCTTGTATAAAGCACATGGCTGGCAGAGGTGAGTTGTGAGAGGGACCTGGAGGAGATCAGTCAGCATGCATTTCAATAGGCAATATTAAGCTGTTTGACCAAGAATTTCCAGCCCAGCATAAACTTCTTTGTGGCTGGCTCCTTTAGAAACCAGTGATGATTTTCCATGAAAGCAAAAGAGGCAGCAAATTGATGGGAGCCCAATACAGTCTATGGTTTTAGCATGTTTAAATCTTAAAGCTATCTGGGCAAGTTTGCACACCAGCACAGGATTGCTAGCAAGAGATTTGATCTTCAGCTGGATCAGTTTAGCACATATTAAAGGCAGTTGACTACTGCTTTGCCAGACTTCTATGAGTGTAACATCTTGAAATAAGTGTAACATCTTGAAATATTCATCTGGGTAAAGTCTACGTTTGTTAAGGTTTTACTTGCCAGTATCAACAACTCTCTTCTCTTGCTTTGACTAGTTCTGCTCACACAGCTGCCATGGCTGAGTTGTGGAGAAGGCTCCTTTGGGGTATGGTACTGCTCCAAACGCAATTTTAGAGATAGAAAATACAACCCATGGGTGCCTTAGGGAGTTGATTGGTTGTCTCCCAGGCTCATTTGAACAGCTGTATGGGTTGTCCCTACCCCATCCCCTTCAGTTCCTGAGGCTTCTTCGGTGCTTGGTCTCCTCACTGAGGCTCCCGACAGAAGAAGGGAGCAGTGTGGACAGCTATGGTCAATGTGGAAAACTGAACATCTAATCTTAATGGTAATGCCACGAGGATTAGATGAACATCACTTAAAACTAATTCCAGGCATAAGCAGCAAAACGGCTTCAAGTGCCTGGGCCAGGGAGGTGCATATGCCCTGAGAGGGAAAGGTACCCAGACCCTCAGTACTGTTCTGGTAGGGCATGTTTTCATTTATGTGCTCTGATGATCTTAGCTTTGGGGTGTCACAGTCTCCTTTGCCTCAAAATTCTGGAGCTGAGCAAAGAAGCTTCTCTGATCAGCTTCCATTGGTACCTGCACCTGGGCACAGTCCATCACCTCTCTTAGAAAAGTGCCTCAAACGCAGCAGTTCAGGGCGTCCTCAGAAGCTGTGCTACCCTTGGTCCTCGCTGAACAAGGTGGTAAGGAGCATTTCCTACACTCAGCTCAGGTAAAATGTGACCAAGACACATTTCTCCCAACAGGCACTTCTTCAGGAAGATCGTGGTGGCCCAGGGAAGCAGGGAAAGGCTATCAGTCGGTATTCTCAGAGCCAGCAAAATCTGTGCTTCTCCATATATCAGGATTAAAGAAGAAGCAGGACAGGTAGGATTGGCTCAGAGCTGTGAAGGCAGGTTACAGGGCAATATTAACAAGAAAACTACATCTTCTCTAATTTTCCTTCTTTATTTCTGTATTTAGGTCTGATTCACCATAGCCTCATACCTGTCATATTCACTTACACCAGTGCAGAGTGCATTCAAATCAGGTTCAAATGTAACCTTGCTGATTTGTAGTGTTTTATTACTCTCTTCCCCACCCCCTTGCCGGCTCCTTCTATCTCAGTTTTATCTCTCTATTGATCTGTTTCTCTCATACTCTCTGACACGCTTGCTGCCTTTCATTATTAGCTAGATAAAGCCTGGCAGCCCAAGCATCCTTGCTACATGATGCTCTCTCTGTCTTCCTTCTCCACTTTGGCCCCTAGGTCCTATGTCCTGTGTGCTGGGTCCCCACTTTTTTATCTGTTCCTTCTTTATCCTGCATCAAGGGCAAAGACTAGAAAGTTCTTTGAATGACTCAGATCCTGTGCTCTTCAAACGACAAGGTCACCGTTTTCATGAGTGCATAAGTTATCGGTAACATCCCCATAAGTTAGCAAAGTCTGCCTCATCCCTAGATCAGGGTGCCAGCTGTTGAAATTAAATTCCAGCTCCCTGGAGTCAGTAAATCCCATGCTTTTGCTTTGTTCACAAAGCAAATGCCTATCTTTATGGTCACAGGGAAACTGTGAAATGTGATTTTCATGTAACCTAAAGAGCCGAAAGTAGGAGGCGAGGGGTGTGGATGAAAGCAAGCCTGTACGACATTTCATAAGTTGAAGATAAATCTTGTGACATGGAGACATTCTGTGTTGTTATTTCTGAATGTTTGGGATTTCTGATCCTAGCTGTAACCACCCCCTAGCATCATCCCTCTCTTCTGTTCTCGCTCTGATCTTTCCACAAAGAAACCTCCATTCTCTTTATGCTGTAGATCCACCTTCTTTCCTATGCACTCACTGTCCCACTTTAAAGCCCGTAGAGCTGTACAGGCTCATTCTAGGTTGTTCTTCTTTTCAACACCACAGAATCCAAGTAACTTGTCAAAACGCTGGAGATATTTTTTCACCAGTCCTTCTCCAAACATAGCAGAGTCACATCTGATGAGACCATTTTTCACAACTGTGTGTAACGTGGGCTCTGAGACAAAAACACTGAATGGACAAAGGAGGCTGGGGTGAATGTCTTGGATACCAACATGATCCAGAAGGCTTTTAACCCTTTAGCTTGTACTGGGCTAATGCACACACGGTCATAAGACCTGTACCTAGTTACACCTAAAGTCAGCCCAGTATCAGCTGCTTACAGAGAAGTTTTAAAAAGAATGTTACTGCATGGTAATTCTTCCTCTGATCTGTTCTCACAGCCCTCAGGATTTTGCAGATCAGGAACTGGCTTCCAGACAGGCCTTCAGTTGTGATTCAAAGACTCCGGAAGAGAGAGGATCTTGCACTTCACTTGGTAGTTTGTTTCTGTGATTAATCACTCTCCAGTGACTGGCTCTTGTTATTCTTTGCCAGAATACCTGGTAGACTTTTCTCCAGGAAGGGAGTGATACTGCAAGCAAGTCATGTCTTGTTCTGCTTTTTGATACATTAAACAGGTTGACCTCTTTAAATTACTGAGATCTCCAGCCTTCGGATCACCTTTGATTCAAAGTTATTTTTAAAATATGGAGCATGAAGCACTGTACAGTTTTCCAGCATGGGACTTATTCAGACATAGAGAGAGGATTAATCATCTCCTCACTCCTTGTCCTTACTTCTGTCTTTGCATGGCCCGGGATCACTTCAGATTCATTCCTGCAGCCTGGACCACTGGTCTTGTGTTCAGTTTTCTGCCTGTTATGATCCCTAAATCTTTTTCAGATTACTTTTTTCAGGACTGTAAGTTGTTATCTGTAGAAATGGGCATTTTTTCCCTGTTCATGGCTGTACAGTCTTAGAAGAAGTTTTATGAGAATGATCACCTTACCGAGTAGGGCAAGTCATTCTGTGCTAGTCATATTCTCTTTATTTTTAACACTCTAGCAATATTTGTGCTTTCAGTAAATTGTGTCAGAATGAACTATATCTGCTCACCAAGCACTGAATAAAATGGTGAGTCATACCTGACCCAGGACTCATTCCTGGGCATCCACGTAAGAAACACTGCCACTCAATGGTGGGCTTCCAGGGATGACCTCCTTTGTGTTTGCAGGGCATTAAATGGAGTTAACCAGCTCGCTTAACCTCCTGCTCTGTTAATGTTGCATAATGCTGTTTTTTCTCATCAGCATGCTTTGGGAAATTAACGCTTCCAGAAGCCTGGATAGATCTAAGCCATCACCTTTTCCAAACAAACCTGTAGTCACATCAAAGACTGACAAGAAGAAAACAAGTTTATGCAGAAAGATCAGT